TATTGCGCAATAGCAAGAAATATTTAATAGCACAGGATTGTGCAAAAGAAGATACTTCCTATAAATTGCTTATTTCTTGACCAATTTCAATGGGGTTTTATTCGTGATTTCATTGGGTTCTTTAATATGCTGAATCTAACCATGTATTTAGTTTTTGGATTTTGGGCCCCGTTTTTAAATTGGTCCACATTGAGGTCCAAAGGGTCCAAAATTAAACTTTGTTTGATTTCATCAAAAATTGAATTATTGGGGTTCTTTGATATGCCGAATCTAACTGTGTATTTAGATTCTTAAATTTTGGTTCCGTTTTCAAATTGGTCTACATTAAGGTCCAAAGGGTCCAAAATTAAACTTTGTTTGATTTTAACAAAAATTGAATTCTTAGGGTTCTTTGATATGCTGAATCTAAACATGTATTTAGATTTTTTATTATGGGCCCAGTTTTCAAGTTGGTCCAAATCGGGGTCCAAAATTAAACTTTGTTTGATTTGAACAAAAATTGAATATATGGGGTTCTTTGATATGCTGAATCTAACCATGTATTTAGATTTTTGATTTTTGGGCCCCGTTATCAACTTTGTCCACATTGAGGTCAAAAGGGTCCAAAATTAAACTTTGTTTGATTTCATCAAAAATTGAATTATTGGGGTTCTTTGATATGCCGAATCTAACCGTGTATTTAGATTCTTAATTTTTGGTTCCGTTTTCAAATTGGTCTACATTAAGGTCCAAAGGGTTCAAAATTAAACTTAGTTTGATTTTAACAAAAATTGAATTCTTAGGGTTCTTTGATATGCTGAATCTAAACATGTATTTAGATTTTTGATTATGGGCCCAGTTTTCAAGTTGGTCCAAATCGGGGTCCAAAATTAAACTTTGTTTGATTTCAACAAAAATTGAATATATGGGGTTCTTTGATATGCTGAATCTAACCATGTATTTAGATTTTTGATTTTTGGGCCCCGTTATCAACTTTGTCCACATTGAGGTCAAAAGGGTCCAAAATTAAACTTTGTTTGATTTCATCAAAAATTGAATTATTGGGGTTCTTTGATATGCCGAATCTAACCGTGTATTTAGATTCTTAATTTTTGGTTCCGTTTTCAAATTGGTCTACATTAAAGTCCAAAGGGTCCAAAATTAAACTTAGTTTGATTTTAACAAAAATTGAATTCTTAGGGTTCTTTGATATGCTGAATCTAAACATGTATTTAGATTTTTGATTATGGGCCCAGTTTTCAAGTTGGTCCAAATCGGGGTCCAAAATTAAACTTTGTTTGATTTCAACAAAAATTGAATATATGGGGTTCTTTGATATGCTGAATCTAACCATGTATTTAGATTTTTGATTTTTGGGCCCCGTTATCAACTTTGTCCACATTGAGGTCAAAAGGGTCCAAAATTAAACTTTGTTTGATTTCATCAAAAATTGAATTCTTGGGGTTCTTTGATATGCTGAATCTAACCATGTATTTAGATTTTGGATATTGGACCATAATAGGTGAATGTCCAATTTAAAATTTTTAAGTTCTTAGACCACATTCAATCTGTGTTAGAAACCTATGCTGTGTCAAATATTTAATCACAATCCTAATCCAAAGCTGTATCAAGCTTGAATGTTGTGTCCATACTTCCCCCAACTGTTCAGGGTTCGACCTCTGCGGTCGTATCAAGCTGCGCCCTGCGGAGCATTTTATTACTCTTAAAATAATAACACGGGATGACGACACTATCGAAATAAATTGAAAATTACCTTGAGAATCACAGGAATTTAATGACATACAACACGATACCAGAAACTTATTTATTTATTTACTTTCAGGCGATCTAAAAAGCGATAGAAAATTGAAAATTGATAAGACTAACCTACAATTTTTTATAAAGTTCGTTAATACCTTACTTGATCATTTATGTTCAATATTCTATAATTCTGCGAAATCCACATTTGGAACTTGTAAATTTTCTAATTCTAAGCAAAAACAAAAAAAGAAACTGGGAAAATTGAAAAAAGAATGGTTTAATGATGATTGTCATTTTGAGAGACAAAATTTCAGGAAACGTAAAAGAAAATTCAAAACAAATAGAACAAATCAAAACTTTCAAGACTTGAAAGTAGCTGAAAAAAAATACAAAAAAGTTATGGATCAAGCTATTCTTGATCACAAAAGAAAATTGTCAAAGAAAATTAAAAAATTAAAATCAAATAATTCACAGGAATTCTGGAAACTATTGAAAAATCGTAAACATAGGGAGCAACCAGACATTCCTATTGAAAAACTTTTTGATTTTTTTAAAGCTTTAAACAAGGAACCATATGACAAGCAAGACTTTAACATACCATATATTGACCCGAACGATATTAATCGTCTGAATGAAAGTATAAATAGGAACATTTCAAAAGACGAAATTAAAAAATGTATTAAAAAATTAAAAAACAATAAATCCCCAGGGGAGGATTTAATCGTAAATGAATATATTAAGTCAACAGAAAATATATTCATAGACATTTACGAGCAACTATTTAATATTATTTTCGTAACAGGTGTTGTCCCGGATAGTTGGCTTATTGGAAATATTAAACCGATTTTCAAAAACAAGGGTGACAAAATGGACCCAAAAAATTATAGACCAATAACAATTCTGAGTTGCCTTGGGAAACTCTTTACTGCAATTTTGAGTGAGCGATTAACTGAGTTTTCAGACGACTTTCTTATCTTGAATGAAAATCAATGTGGATTTCGTAAGGGCTATTCAACAACAGATAATTTATTCATAATTTTCAACTTTTTTGAAATTCTAAAAAACAAGAAGAAAAAAATGTTTTGCGCATTTATTGATTTTGAAAAAGCTTTCGATGAAGTTTGGCGGGATGGACTATGGTATAAGTTGCTAGTGAATAATATGAATGGTAACATGTATAATATAATTGTAAATATGTATAATGGTACAAAGTCCTGTATTTCTTATAATGATTGTAAGTCAGAATTTTTCCCTTGTAGTAACGGTGTACGACAAGGGGAAAATTTGTCTTCTTTTCTTTTTGCCTTATTTATGAACGACCTTGAGTCATACTTATCAAACTGTAACTTAAACGGACTGAAAACGATTTCTAACGAAATTGAACTCAAACTTAATACATATTTAAAATTATTTGTAATTTTATATGCTGATGATACTGTGCTAATGGCAGAATCACCTGCAGATCTCCAATGGCAACTTGACTCATTTCAAGATTATTGTTCTATATAGAAACTGAAAGTTAATGCTGATAAAAGTAAAATCATGGTTTTTTCTAGAGGAACACTTCCAAGGAACCTAAGTTTTAACTTAAACGGAATAGAACTAGAAATAGTGAACAGTTTAAATTATTTAGGGATAGAATTGGCCAGGAGTGGGAACTTTAAGAGAGCGAAATAGTCCATAGCCAACAAAGCTACTAAGGCTTTCTATGAGGTTCTAAAATTAGGCAGAAATCACGGCCTTGCAATCAAAACACAGCTCGAATTATTTGATAAAATGATAAAACCTATTTTACTGTATGGGTGCGAAGTATGGGGATTCAGCAATAACGAAATAATCGAAAAAGTCCACTTAAAATTTTGTAAATTGCTGCTACATTTAAAATCTTCTACACCATCGTATATGATATATGGTGAACTTGGAAGATATCCTTTAGAAATTGACATAAAAAATAGAATGATATCATTCTGGGCTAAACTTCTTTCTGGAAAAGAGTCAAAATTGTCAAAAATTGTTTATAACTTATGTTATGAATTGTCATATGTGAACGGAGATCGGTTTTTATGGTTAGATCACATAAAAAATATTCTAAATGAATGTGGCTTAACATATATTTGGAACACACAAACTTTTATGAATTTGAATTGGCTGCGTCTGACAGTTAGTAGAAACCTTAAAGATCAATTTGAACAGAATTGGCACTTATCGTTAGAAGAATCACCCAAAGCTGTAAATTACAGAGTATTTAAAGATAAGTTTTGTTCGGAAGTTTACTTAGATATTTTAGATAACAAAAATGTTGTCGAATTTTGCAGATTTAGAACAACAAAGCATAAATTACCTATTGAAGCTGGTAGATGGTATAACACCAACAGACAAAACAGAAACTGTAATCTGATGTAGAAAAAAATGAAATCGGGGATGAATTTCACTTTATCTTGGAATGTCCATTTTTTGAACAGGAGAGAAAAATTAAATTAAAATATAGTTACACCAGACCAAATATCTTAAAGTATAAATTATTGATGTCATCAAAAAAGAAAACAAAGCTTATTAAACTTTGCAAATTTATCAAAATCATAAATAAATCTGTGTGTACTCCAGGCTTAATCTAGTGTGAAGCTACCCCTATTATTGTTGATCAAATGTCTTGTACTAATTGTATTTTATTATATATTGTATATATTGTACATATGTATTTCTCTATACCTTGTCAAAATGATGGTTTACTGAAAAGATATATATATATATATATATTGGATGCTCTCTTTGGTAAATTTACTAGAAAGTTGATGGGATCATTCTCGTCCGCCATGTTTGTTGTGGTCGTGATTTTTTTCACCTACGCTTCAAAAATTTACACTTATTGAAAATAATTTTGATAGTTTTATTATTTTGTTTCTTAAATTGAAATATGTTTTAACTATTGTTCTAACCATTCTACGTTCTGAGTCGTAAAACCATGCATATTGCACTCTTGGTTGTGATAGTCTAAATATAGAAATTCATGTATCCTTGAGGATACATTCGGCATCTACACCGGTGTGACACAAGGATAATTTCGGCATGTGCACGAGGGTGCCAAAAGGATGAAAGGCATGAAAGGGCTAAAACAGCAGTCTTTTTAATTAATTTTACAAGGTTGACATCACTTCTGAAAATATTCACAGTTTATAGAATTAATTAAGAGTGTTGTTTTCAATGAAAAATATTTTCAACAGTAGTGGTATCTGAGCTCTATCATATGATTTCTTTTTCAGATGTAACCTTGGATAAAGAAAAATTCTAATTACTGACATCTGGTGATTGCAATCAGTAATTTTACAAAGATGGAAGAATGTATTGATTCACAAACGACGAAAGATATTTTGATTTGTCCAATTTGTCTAGACAGATTCACAAAGCCAAAGTGTCTCCCATGTTTACATTCTTTCTGTGAGGGTTGTATTTTGACATACAGTACTTCAGTACTGGAGAAATTGGACGGGAAGGATCATATAAACTGTCCAGTCTGCCGAGCAACAGTTCAGTTACCAAAGAAAGAATGCACACCAAAGGAATTTGTAGATCAGTTACCTGCAAATTTCATCATAAATGGTATTTTAGAAAAAGAAAAGGTTACACGACCATGCATACCATGTGAGAGACTTGATATTGTATCACAAGCTGTTTTCATCTGCATTGACTGCTCAGACACTCTTTGTGATACCTGTCAGAAATATCATAAAGCAAATAAAGCATCTTCTAATCATGATATTAAACCAATATCTAAGCTAACGGATGAAGAAAGAAAACCTAAAGCATTCAAAAATATATGTGCTCAGCATTCTAAAAAACTGAAGTTATTCTGCAACAATCATGATGTACCATGTTGTACACTTTGTAAACCTTTAAGTCACAGAAAGTGTGACAATGTTGTAACTATTGAAGAGGAAGCAAACAAATTTTGTACAGATGTTAAACTTGAAAAGTTAAAAATGGATATAAGAAATGTATCAGATGATTTTAATACTCTTTTATCTCACTATACAGAATGTTTACAAAACAACGAAACACAGTATGAAGATAAACAGAAGATGATAGAAATGTCAATCAGTACTATTATTTCAAAAGTTAAAGCATTAGAAATAACAAAGAAAGCTGAACTAAAAAAATTATATGAGGAAAAGAAACATATTTTAGAAGATAGGATGGATACATGTACAAATTGTCAAAAAACTGTAGTTTCAGATAAACAGACTCTTGAAGTAAACATTGAAAAAACCTCTGAAGTGCAGGTAATGTTTGAGGCGCAAAAGATAGCTGGTCAAATTGAGAAACATAAACAACTCTTAAAAAAATACAAATTTGATGGTTCCAAAATTTTGATTGGTGGTGGAACAGGTATTCCAATATTGATTGACGTTTTTATAAACAGTTTATTCAAAATATCCGTAAGTAATGAAGATACAACCCTGAAACTCTTAACAGATGAGACCAGTCCAAGTTTCAATTCAAAGCAAAAATCATCTTTGAATCAACCAGTTGGATTTATTTTGAACCCAAATAAAGATATCAAAATCAGTAAGTACTTTCATAATATTACAAATACGGGTAGATATAAAAATACGCTATTTATTGAACGAAAATGAAGATCATATATAATTGAGTAAACTATAAAATATTCATTTGTATATATGGCAACATTGCAGCACTACCAGCTAGCTAACAGATAAAAATAAATTCCTGTTTCTGTCTCGTGGTGGTGGGGTACCATTTTTATGTAATTAGCCCAATCGTAACTACTCGGCCATTCTCGCTATGCAATACAATAACTTCTTCGTGCAACCAGAAAGGCCGAGTAGTTCCGATTGATAATTAGCCATGGTTCTAAAAATCTTTTTCCCTGGTGGTCCTTAAAAAATCTGCTGGTCCTTACTATTATTTCTCTGATTGAAAAATACCAAAATTGTGTCGGTCGTTTGCCAAATTTTTGTGTTCAAAACCTTCGAACCACCACTTTTCGAGAACTCTGAATTATTAGAGGAAGGAATAACCCGCTGGAATAAGTCACTTTTAAAGCTACATAAAACATCATAAGGACGAAAATTAGTGTGCTGATTATAACATAAGTATCTGAACTACTGAATCATATGTTAGTATTTTTTAAAGATGGTATTCAATACCGCAGTCGTTAATGCATCAGTCATTTGTTAAATCCATTTTGACTTCATGAAATAGCTTGATATAGCTATACGTCAAATTTTTGATAAAAAAATATATGATATGGTGTGTAAAATAAATGAAAAGGATGAGTTACTCGATGTCTCAGCTAATCACTCATACAAAAGAATTGAAGTGTCCCTCCCACCTTACCACTCATTAGGATATGAAAATAACACTATAATTTTGAGGTATTAGGAGCTGTTTTCTAGATTTTATTCATTAGGAACCCAAAAATATGAAATTCAAGGATGTATCTTAATACATGAAGAGCTATATGACCAAAAAGGACAAAATAAAAAAACCCATCAAAACTCATATAAGGTTGATTCATTGATTGTTGGTTGCTTAACTTCCAGTGGCAAATATTCCATGCATGTGCAGGACGAGAATATATTAACAATAAATACAATAGGTAGGTCCTGTAATAGAGGCCGTCCGGGATGAAGGTCAGGGTACTCTGACTGCCACTCTAAAATGAGGGTATATTGAGAGACCGTGGCACCCTCTCTACACGAGGCATCGGATTGAACGTCCCCAATCTGACCGGACGTGACTGCGTACCTGTACATCCCACACAACCAAACGAACCCCCACTCTGACAAGGGTTTTACTGCCAGTCGGAAAGAGATCAAAAGTGACAATTTTTCTATTCCCCATCGGCATCACTCTTGGGGGAGGGCTTATATAAGGTCAACTTTGACCTATGGTGTTAAATATCTTGAGATTTTTTAATAACTTTCAAATTGATTCACCTCAAATTTAAGAAACGTATGTTATAATTCATTTCAGAACTGAAGCATTGGCTACTGAGCTGATATCTACAGGGACTCAAAAGTCCACCATCAGCCATATGAGCCCAGTGCTTTTGAATGAAAACAACACTTTTGATTTCATGACTATTATATACAAATGAGATGTAAAGATATTTAGCTGTACGTTTATAGTAAGGATCAAAAAGGATTTCAATTCTGATAGGATTGTTTGTATGGTTATTCATTGCACGTGCATTATAATAACACTGATGAATTGATGGTTATAACAGAGCAGTTCTATAAAAAAAAACTTTTGACCAATTGTACAAGTCGAATTAATTCATTTTGGAGTGAAACACTACCAGTCAAGTCACAGTAATATCATATCTACCCCAGAAATAGATGACCTAAGCTGTATTTTACAGAACCTTTCGGAAATTTGTGTCCTATATGCTCTTCAACGTCGTACTTATAAATTTGGCCTTTTTAACTTTTTGATTCGAGCGTCACTGATGATTCTTTTGTAGATGAAACGCGCATCCGGTGTACAAAAAGATTAATCCTGATCTCTAGATTGAGTTTATATTCAATGGTTCCTTTACTGTCCCCCGCGCAACGCCTTGCAGGGGGGAGGGGGGCGCATAGAAATAACGGGCGTTCGTCCGGCCGGTCTTGTTAGCGTTCTCACATGTACAATTCATGGCAGATTTTTATAAATTTTATATCATAGGTTTATATGAGCAATGTCTCGGACGAGTTAGAAAATAAGTGCCGATCAATTATTTTTAAAAGAGTTATGCCCCTTGGAAACATTAATCATATGGAAAATTGCATCGTTAGCGCTCTCGTGTGTACAATTCTTACCAGATCTTTATGAAACTTATATTGTAGGTTTATATCAGCAATGTCTTGGACGAGTTCGAAAATCAGTGCCGATCAATTATTTTTCCATGCCCCTTGGAAACATTAATAATATGAAAAAATTGATCATTAGCTCTCTCATTTGTACAATTCTTGCCAGATCTTTATGAAACTTATATAATAGGTTTATATCATCAATGTCTTGGACAAGTTCGAAAATCAATTATTTTTAAAAGAGTTATGCCCCTTGGAAACATAAATTATATGAAAAATTGCATCGTAAGTGCTCTCGTGTGTACAATTCTTGCCTGATTTTTATGAAACTAATATTGCAGGTTTATATCAGCGATGTCTTGGACGAGTTGGAAAATAAATGCTGATCAAATACTTTTTTTAACGAGTTATGCCCCTTGGAAATATTAATTCTATTGGAAATCACATTGAATTTGATCTGAAGCATTTATTTCTCTAAGATATTTATCAACAGTTTTAAAGAACAAAAAAAAGTGTTTTTTTTTTTTATTTATTGCCATTGATCCTTGGATAGATAAAATATGTGCAACACGGGGGACATTGGAACTGTGTTCTTTTATATATTTAGAGTTACAGCTATGATCAACAAACTTTGAAGATAAAACGTATATATGTATTTAAAGTCTTGGTACAAACAAAATAACAAACAAGAATAAACACTACATTACATAGAATACTCATAAATAGTATTATCTCCGTCTGCAAAACACCAACTTAATTTAGATAATTTTACATGTATATCTTTCAAGAGTCTTGTTTCACTTCATCCTCTGGCTAGATCTATACTTAGTATGTGTCACACTTCAGCATTGTAGTAACACATTTTAATAAGGTCTAAGAAAACATGTCAGTTTCCTGCCCCCAACCATAAAAAAGATAGGGTCAGTCAGTTGTGATTCTCTTTTTTTTTTTTTTATCTATTTGGGTATCGATAAATTTGGAAAATTACATCATGTTTTCTCAATGTTGTATCCCGACTTACACAACACACCCGGTAATCCCCACTTGTACAATGGTACATTTGTAAGTTCTAATGTTACGACAACTTTACCACTCGATTATGGTCAATCTAATTAGAAAAATGGAACTTCAAATTGAGATGCATGATTTGTGACACTATTTTTTCTTTACTTCAGTATTAGACCTATGTTGCATGCATATGATAAATTTTAAACCAGTTACTTTGATGATTTTGTAACAATAGAATAACACATACTTAAAATGTCAAAAATAATTCCAGCTTGTCTAAATTTGACTTTATAGATGTCACATTTATTATATTTTATTACCTTATTTACAGAACTAGTTATAGCAGAAATGATATAAGTTCAAGAATTTTACGAACAAGTCTCATCAAAGCAACATGATTGAAACTCTGTAAAAGCTCATACTTAAAATCATACGTAATTTGGAAAAGTGTTTATAGTAAAAAAAAACAATTTTGTATTGTCTTTTGCATGAAAGCAAAATAAGATTGAAATGCCAAACATAATGGTTTCTAATTTTTTACAGCGAGATATTTCATCATAATGTTGTAAAAAATAATTACAAAAAAGATTTTTAACTTGAAATCAAAAAGTTTTTGATTAGTATTTTGATGACTCTCAAACTGACTAGTTCAGATAAATCTGTGAACAAAATTCATCTAGATCATTATAGATTGACCATGATAAAAACTTTTATTTGATTTTAACAAAAGTTTTTATAACTAACACTTGGAGTGAATGATATACTGCCATGACCTTGTCCATCTGTTTGTCTATATATCCGTAATTATCCAGTTATAATTTTAATGTTTTCTTGTTCAGGTGGTTTCAAGATTGGAAATACAACCTCGGAGCAAAAATCCCCAGGCTTTTCCATACAATCACGGGCAACACCAAAATCTACTGCAGACATCAAATTTGGTCAGACACCAAAGGCAGCTGACAGCACAACTCCTGCTACTGGAAGTGGAATCAAGTTTGATGGACAAACAGTTTCTGCAGTAAAAACAACCACAGCTGAAGCATATACTGGCAAACCTCCATTCATCGGTGGTTTTAAATTAGGAAAATTACCAGAGTCTGACAAGAAAAAACCAACATCAGGAGCAGTCAGTTTTGGACCGATTGTGTCTTCTACTTCTGACAAGAAAACTGAACCTTCAAAGCCAGATCAATCTACACCTGAATTCAACAAGTCTACTTTAAGTGGTTTCACCATCCAACAAACAGCTAAATTATCTGATTTCAGTTTCGGTGGAGAGACTAAGCCTAACACTTCCAAACCAGCTTCAACATTTACCTTTAAGTCCAGTGCTCAAATTACTACTGCCCCACTTCCCCTAGCTGTTACAGAAACAGCTAACAAACCAGTAGCATTTCAGGCTAGCACATTTTTTGGGTTTTCATCAAGTATCATTAAACCTGAGCCTGCTAAGAAAGATGAAAAGAAAGAATTTGGAAATCAGTTTAATCCGAAAGAAGGAATTTGGAAGTGTAATGGATGTCTTATGTGTAATAACGGTGATTCTTTAAGATGTCCAGTCTGTGGAACACTTAAACCTGGAGTTACTAAAGAGGGGGTTAAAGCTGCAGATCAGCCTCAAAAGAAGGATGGAAAGAAAGGATTTGGTGATTTGTTTAAACATAAGGAGGGTAGATGGAAATGTGATGGCTGTCTTTGTTCAAATAACAGAGATGTACTCAAGTGCCCTGCCTGTGGTATCATGAAGCCATGTGTTAAAAGGGAAGACCTACCAAAAGAATCTGAAAAGTCCTCAGCTTTCGGAAGTTCCACTGGTGGATTTAATTTTGGTGGAAAAGGAAGATTCACTTTTGGAACAGCTGGCAAATCTGATACTAAAGCTGGTTCTGGATTCACATTCCCTTCACCAGATGTAGCAAAGGAAAAATCTGAATCCAATCTTGCCTTCGCTGGTTTTACTTTCACAACAACAAAATCAGTTGCAGAGAAAAATAAACCAGATGCTGCAGCCAAAGGTTTCAACTTTACATTACAACCATGCTTTACACCAGAAAAGAGCAGCGGTAAAGTCAGTTTTACATTTTCACCATCAAAAGATGGCCTTTGAAGAATAAGATTTAAGATTTATTTTCTCGACTCATATAAAGCCTTCTTCTGTAATGAAATAAGGAAATATGCTAGATATACTTACTGCAACTTTGATAAGATGATTAAAGCGGTACATTTTTTCTCCTAGACAACATCTATATACGTTTCTTCAATATAAGTTTTCGACAGGTTGTAGGCATTCCTATGGGCACCAATTTTGCCCAATTAGTAGCAGACTTGTACCTGTATTGTTATAAACCACAACCAACTGAGAAAAGGTCTGTCTAAATAACATTTGATTGTTCAGTTTAAAAACACTTACCGTCACCTTGATGATATTTTAATCAAGACTTTTTATACCCCCGCTTTAAAAAAGTGGGGTATACTGTTTTACCTCTGTCTGTCCTTCCGTCAGTCCATCCGTCAGTCCATCCGTCAGTCCGTCCGTCCCATGAATATTTTCGTCGCATTTTTCTCAGGAACTACTCGACAAGGATTTCTGAAATTTGGTGTCAGGGTTTATATAAGTAAGTTACACCGTGTGATGCCTTTTTTAGATTCATCAATCAACAACTTCCTGTTTACCGAACACTTGTATTATTTTACACATGATAGCCAAATTGAAAATTTTCGTCGCATTTTTCTCAGGAACTACTTGACAAGAATTTTTGAAATTTGGTTTCAGGGTTTATATAAGTAAGTTACACCGTGTGATGCGTTTTCAGATTCATCACTTAACAACTTCCTGTTTACCGAACACTTGTATTATTTTACACATGATAGCCAAATTGAAAATTTTCGGCGCATTTTTCTCAGGAACTACTTGACAAGGATTTCTGAAATTTGGTTTCAGGGTTTATACAAATAAGTTACACCGTGTGATGCGTTTTCAGATTCATCACTCAACAAATTCCTGTTTACCGAAATATTTCGGCGGCAGTAGCTCACAGTTTTACTTGTTTACTTGTTTTATTTTTACTGAGTATTTTTACCGAAGGGAACGTACTTTAAGTAAATCAAATGCAAACAGTATTTTTTTTTTCTTTCATTGATATGGATATTTCAGTGTTTTAGTTGTAATTGGCTTTGAACTAGCTTTCCGTAACTGCGAGTACTCTTATATCGATGATTTTTGTCTATTAGTTTTAGGTTAGTGGGGGTTGTGATTTGTGCCGATCATTGAGTTAAACAAATTTACAAATTATTTATATTTTGTTATTATGTTGTGCTGCTACACCAATGTCCCAGGCAAGGGGAGGGTTGAGCGTTAATAAACATGTTCATAACCTCACCACATTATCTATGTGCCTGTCCCAAGTCATGAGCTTGTAATTCAGTGGTTTTCGTTGGTTAATGTCTGTCATATTTGTTTTTCCTATATTGAATTGTTATAAACTAGGTCATTAGTTTTTTTCATTTGAATTGTTTCACATTTTTCTTGTTGGGACCTATTATAGCCGAATATACGGTATGCGATTTTGTCATTGTTGAAAGCTTATAATTGATTACTTCTTCGTCATGGGAACCAATTATGCAATTCGAATTAATTCATTTCGGAGTGAAACACTACCAGTCAACTCACAGTAATGTCATAGCTACCACAGGAGAATATGACCTTAGCTGTATTTTACAAAACCTTTCGGAAATTGGGTCCTCAATGCCCTTCAACTTCGTACTTTATTTTGCCTTTTTAGCTTTTTGATTCTAGCGTCACTAATTAGTCTTCTGTAGAGAAAATGCGCATCCAGCGTACAAAAAGATTAATCCTGGTATCTATGATGAGTTTATAGCCAATGGTTTATATATTTAGAGTTGCAGCTATGATAAACAAACTTTGAAGATAAAACTTTAATATGTATTTAAAGCCTTGGTATAAACAAAATAACCAACAACAAAAAACGCTACATTACCTAGAATACTCATCAATAGGATTATCTCCGTCTAAAGAACATCAATTTAATTTTAGATAATTTACATGCATAGCTTCCAAGAGTATTGTTGGTTGAGCTTTTCAATTACATCGTCTTATTGTATGCCTATTCCTAGCAAACAATTTAAATGTAGCCAGTTTACAAAGTGAAGACAACAGATGTGTCTAGATTTAGTCAACCATTACCTTTGATGAGCAACTGACAATTTTTTTTAACATGTTTAACATACAAGCAGATTTAGTCCACCTCACCCTTTTTGCAATGGGTCTTCGTGATTATAGAAGTTAGCCTTTTAAAGTGATGATAAACTGTACAGGTAGATTTTGGCTCAATAACCAGAGTGCTGTGAATAAAAAAAACATGTAGGGTATTTGTCGATGAGACAACAACCCAATAATACAAGCAACCAAAAGACATCTAGTGTTAAAAATACAGTCTCCTACAATGGACATGTGTCTATACACTACACGTATGTCAAGCTCTAAATTTTCAAAAAAGTTGTGAAAAAATAAAACAATATATCAAAATATCAAAGATCTGTCATAAACAACAAATTCTCCACAAAAAAATGATGATAGGCACATGAAATTTTCGGCATGGTTAAACTAATTTTGTGAGATTCAATACTCTAATTTTAATAATGGTTAGGGGACCAACAAAAGGCACACAAAAGTACAAACTTAAAATCAGGAAAATTAAATCTCTGAAATCTAAATTTATGTTGTAACAATAACACAAATAAAAGTGAACCAATTACCAAATTATGGTTAACCTGTCCTCATTTAGTTAAAAACAATTAGTGTCTGGTAAATGCAACCACATTGGATGTAAGCAATTTGCATAAATTCTATATACATTTTATTTATGTTTATCTTCCATTTCAGAGTTGCAGCGACCTATATTTGGTACTTCATCGGCAGCACAAAATGTAGGAGCTGTAAGTTCATCAAATGCTACTCCAACAACTTTACCACTGTTAGGTAGTCTCCAAGCGGCCTCAGCATCACCTGACAAACCATTGCCTAATCCTGTTTCTATGGTTACTTCAATTGCTACTGGTTCTTCAGCATCAAAAGTAACCTATAGTTTTGGACAACAATCGTTTACAACGGGTACTCAGTCAACATCCAGATTTGGACAAGTGTCATCGACTACTCAAGGAGCTAATCAAAATTTGTGCACTTCAGCTACGAAGGCTTCTACCACTTCTGGTGCTGTTGGGAATATATGTATATTCCCTCAAAAGGAAAATATTATTGCTTGTAAATTATCAAAGGAGACAAGTCTTGTAAATTCTTTATTAAAAACAAGTGATGATTTTGTGCAGCAGGGATATGAACCAAATGTTTTTATCAAACCTATCATAGACTTGCCTGATCTTATTGCAACAAAAACAGGAGAAGAGGAAGGAGAAACTGTTTTTTGTGAAAAGGCAACATTATTAAGATTTGATGACGGACTTTGGAAGGAAAGAGGATCTGGCGAATTGAAACTCTTACGTCATAAACAAACAAAACGTGTTCAATTATTAATGAGACGAGATCAAGTTTTGAAAGTTTATGCCAAGCATTTCCTCACAAAAAAAATGAAACTTTATCCTTTGCAGTCTTCTAAAATGGCATGGAGCTGGATTGCTGAGGACTTATCTGAGGGAGAAATTAAGATCCAATATTTTGTAGTTTGTTTTAAGGATGAGGACCTTGCTTTGAAGTTCAAGGCAACATTTGAAAAATTGCAGTCTGAACTTCAACAGGTGAAATCAAACCAAGTGCAAAAAGAGCCAGCTAAAACAGGGACCAAAGATAAACCATCACTCGGATCTATGTTGAAAAAAGAGGAGGGAGTATGGACGTGTACTGTATGCTTGGTAACAAGGAAATCAGATGTTCAGAAATGTGCTACTTGTAAAACAATGAAGCCAGGTCTGAAACAAGAGGATATAAAACAGAAAGAGTCAAAATCAGGTGAGAATATGTTTATTCTCATTATGTTTGAGTAGGTTAGGATATACATTTACATTTACATGTATTTTAGGGATAGAAACAACATTATATTCACACAAACGAATAAAAACATCAAGGTCAAAGTAACAAAAAAATCACTTTTAAAAACTAGGGGTGAATGCAGGTGCTCACTAGGATAAGTAGTCCCTTCTCCACTAGTGGCAATGTCTTCTTGCTTATAGCAAGATGATTCATATTCTGTGATGTCATCAGGAAAACTTGATTCCTTTTTGAAAACCAGATATTTAAACATGGGAAGCATTGTATGTTACTTATTTTTATGTCCACTGCGCAATGCGTTGCGGGGGACATAGAATTACCGTGCGTGCGTCCGTCCGTCCGGTCTTGTTAGCGCTCTCACATGTACAATTCTTGCCAAATTTTTTTCACGAGTTCGAAAATCAGTGCCGATCAGCTATTTTTAAAAGAGTTATGCCCTTGGAAACATAATTATAAGGAAAATTGCATCGTTAGCGCTCTCATGTGTACAATTCTTGCCAGAATTTTATGAAACCTATATTGTAGGTATATCAGCAATGCTTCAGACGAGTTCGAAAATCAGTGCAGATCAACCTATTTTAAAAAGAGTTATGCCCCTTGGTAGCATTTATTATATGGAAAATTGCATTGTTAGCGCTCTCATGTGTACAATACCTGCCAGCTTTTGAAACTTATATTGTAGGTTAATATCAGCAGTGGGCTCGGAAGAGTTCGAAAATCAGTGCCGATAAACTATTTTTAAAAGAGTTAATCCCCTTGGAAACATTAAATATATGGAAAATTGCATCGTACGCGCTTTCATGTGTTCAATTCTTGCCAGATTTTTATGAAACTTATATTGTAGGTTGATATCAGCAATGTCTCAGACGAGTTCAAAAATCAGTACTGATCAACTATTTTTAAAAGAGTTATACCCCTTGGAAACATTAATTATATGGAAAATTGCATTGCTAGCGCTCTCATGTGTACAATTCTTTATGAAACTTATATTGTAGGTTTATATCACCAATGTCTCGGACGAGTTCGATAATTAGTGCCGATCAACTATTTTTAAAATAGTTACACCCCTTAGAAACATAAATTATATGGAAATTTGCATTGTAAGTGCTCTCACATGTACAATTTTTGCCAGATTTTTATCAAATTCTTATCAAAGGTATATAACAGCAATGTCTTTGCCAATTTCGAAAATAAGTGCCGATAAAATATTTTAAATGAGTTTCCCTCATTTCGGAAATTGTTCTCAAGTCTTCAACTCTCTAGTAAGATAGTTTAAAAAGGTTTAAAAGACCCCAAAAAATTTTTTTTTAGTTATTGCCCATGAACAGAACATATATATATGTGCAACACGGGGGACATTGGAACTATGTTCTTTAATTATCTTTCAGATTTTACGAAGTTCAAATTTATTTAAAAGTCAATGAGCTGCAACAGAATATATACAAATTGTATAAATGTGTAGCTTTTATTTCCAGATTTACCCAAATCAATTTAAAATTTAATAAACATTTCTATTCATCTGTTCCTCTGTTCATCCAAAAAATATTTTTATTGCACTTTTCTTAGGACATGGAAAGGGTGGGGGGGGGGGGGGGCTATATTGTAATCACCTTGTCCGTATATTCATCTGTTTGCCTAACAAATAATTTCTATGCACTGTTACTGCTCAACAGAATGACATCATTATTATTTTGTCAGAAGCTTGGCAGTGATGAGTGGTAAAGTGTGGGTGCTTTTCTGATGTTGTACACTTCCTGTTTGCTGATAGTTTGAATTTTTCAATATGTTGATTGAAAACAAATATTTTCTTTTCACTTTTCTCATGAACTACTACACAGAATGACATCATATTTGGTCAGAAGCTTCACGGTAATGAGTTGTAAAGTGTGAGGACGTTTTTGCTCTGTCAGACAACTACTTCCTGTTTTCTGAGTGGCACCACTACGTAGTGAGGGATTACTACACTCGCACCCAGTAGACCAAGCAACCATCCTTTATAAACAGTTCCAATCGGCTTTCTTCACCAAGGATACATACAACCAGCGAGAGCTCATATCTCGATGTCAGATGTCAAGTAAATACCCTTCTGCTGAGGAACTTGACATAACAGAAATACTAAAATTACTTACGAAAATTTATCCAAATAAAGCAGCAGGACCCGACAATACTAGACCAAGATTACTTAAAGAACTGGCAACGGAAATAGCCCTAATACGTACAATCATCATTAAAACATCAATTGAAACAGGGAACGTACCACCTGACTGGAGAAATGCCAATGTTAGCCCAGTCTTCAAGAAAGGATAGCGATATAGAGAAGAGAAGTATCTCTGACTTTTATCTGCTGCAAACGCATAGCGCACATTATCACAAGCCATATCATGAACCATGCAGATCGCCACCAAATTCTCTACCCATTACAACATGGCTTTCGTTCTAAACGATCTTGCGAAAACCAACTTATTGATTTTGTGGACGACATGAGTGCAGGTAAACATACAGACGTAATGATTATGGATTTCTCTAAAGCGTTCGACAATTAAGGTCAGTCACAGTCTCCTCGTACATAAACTCGAACACTATTGAATCAGATGAAGCGTCAATGGGTGGATTGCTAGCTTTCTGTCACATCGAACACAAGCAGTAGTAGTGGATGGAGAGAACTCTTCACATATTGATGTAGAGTCTGGGGTACCCCAAGGCTTAGTTTTTGGGTCTTCATTATTCCTATTCTACCTCAACGACATGCCCGATGGAATTAAATTCACTATCCGACTATTCGCAGATGACACTATAGCATACCTTACTATATCAACCGAAAAGACTCGGACGACCTACAAAAAGATCTGGATAAACTAACTACATGTGAAACCAAATGGAAAATGGCCTTCCACCCAGACAAGTGCTAGGTACTTACCATCAGCCGGAAAAACAATGTCATTGCAACACCTTACAATCTACATGGTCACACTCTAGAACCCGTTAAAAGCGCCAAATACCTAAGCTGCACATTCACATCCGAACTGAAATGGAATAACCATGTTAATAACGTATGTAATAAAGCCAATAGAACAACCAGTTTCCTAGAACGAAATCTGAACATTGGATCTACTTCTGTAAAGGAAAATGCGTATAAAACATTTGTAAGACATATAACAGAATACGCTAGTCCAGTATGGGATCCATACTATAAAACAGAGATTGACCAACTAGAGATGGTCCAGAGACGAGCAGCACGATATGTGATGAATAAACACCATTATCACTCAAGTGTAAGCAAGATGCTCAATCACTTAGAATGGAGATCTTTGAAACAAAGACGAAAAGATGCAAGAATTGCCATGCTCTTCAAAATAATAAATGATACAGTTGTAGTTATAAAGGAAGGTCGTCTGATGCCACCTTAACGACTGTCAAGAAACATGCACGACAGAAGCTTCCAAATTCCAGCGTCATCAAGTGATTACCGGAAATATTCTTTCTTCCCACGAACCATCAAGGATTGGAACACTCTCACTCCTGTGGTTGTATCAGTACCGTTAGTTAATGCTTTCAAACCCTCGGTGACAAAGCTGAACTAAATTCAAACATTATGGGGGGAGGGGTCCGTATGCGCAGCGAAGTTATGGAAAAATAATCAACTTGTTGAGTGTTGCCATCATCCGGTAGAAATAGATGTATAAGTTCTGTTAGTTGTAATTAGGAATGGGGTAGGCTTAGGACGACAATATTTATTTTAAATTTTGCTCTCAGTACCTCTCAAATTGATGGCATTCATATAAAAACAGTTCTGATAATAAACTATCCAGGTTTTAAATGGCAAAAATAGAAATAAAAAAAAGAGAAGTTTGTTTCAAATTAAATAGTTTTCCCCTAATAAGCAAATCTGAATGGCTGACTTGTAATTGAAATATCATGGATCAACAACACCATAAACCCCTTCCCCACAAAAATCAAAACATCTTGAGATGAGTACCAAAAGGGTAACTAGTTTCAACATATTTATTATACACATTTTATTTTGGAATTTGTATCAATATTTGAGGATAACTTTCTGATTTATGTTTAATGAATTAATATTAATTTCTTTTAACGCCAGTTGGTCCAGGACTCGGACATTTAATCAAGTCAATGAGGACTGCAATAGATGATGATTCTGTTATGTATTGACAAAGAATGAATTTTACCACAATGAGGGGCTGATAACCATTGATTTTTTTCTTCAAATTCGGTAGACATGCATCCAAGTCTCAGTCTCATTCTCATTCCTGCGTACCAAACTGACTAGAAGCTCATCATATTGATGACCCCTATTTATTATTAGTAATGGTAATGGTATCAAATGAACACAATACAGGTCCACTGACATTTTCAATATTATAATGTATCCACAAATTTTTGTATGATTGCGAGAGGACAGTCTACTGGTTTACATGCATGTAGTGTTCATTGTTTTTTTTTTTCTGCTTTTTTTTGGGGGGGGGGAGGGAGGGGGGATAAGATACTCAAGATAAAACAACATAATAAGCAAAATCATGTTTTTAACCCAAAAAAAATATTGATATTGATTGCATGTTGTTTTTGTTTGTTTGTTTGTTTTTTTTATTTATTAAATTCTATCAAATATAATAAAATCTATCAAATGTGAAAACGAATTAAATATATTATTAAATACAACTTTCCTTTGCCATCTTTTCTTTTAGTTCTTTTGGGTTTGTAATCTTTGGTTTTTGTTCCTAGTTTCTTAAACGCTTCAATTAAAGTATTTTCCAACCCTGTAACAGGGGTGGCCACTGGCTAATCACAAAAACTAGACACCCTTGTGTACAGGAAATATTTAATAGGTAGTAAGAATAATTCAACTGTAAAGATTTAAATCTTTATTCTTAGAGACAACAGGAACATTTCCTAATAAATAAATTTGGTGTATTTACTGTCTTCTGATTGGTTAAAAGTATTAA